ATGCAAAAGGAAAAGTTAGCAAAAGTAGGTCTCGAATATGGGATCTTTAATATTCAAGCGATTCGCCTTACTCGATTAAAAACGCTTGATTCTTTGTTGTACGCTGCTGTTGATCAAACAGTCTAACGCACGGCAAGGACGCGTAACGTAAATAGCTTCGCTTGTGGATATAACATGGACATGAACCATCTCAGAAAATAGACGTGACTTTTTGACCAATGCGGAAAATGGACGTGGCTATTTAGTTCCTAAGCCGGCCGGAAATGGACGTGCGTCACTAGCGTACGGCCTAGAAAAAGCGTCGTACGGAAAACGGCAGCGTGGCCTCTCTCAAGTTTCTCTCTGCTAGAACTCTGGTTCTAGCATCGTGGACACAAGGCTTTAACACAGTGCAATTTAGCGTGTTCTAGTTGGAAAACACCCTATACAACATATATGAAATGTGTGTTTTGATTGGTGACGCGTGACGCGACGCACTCAGTGGGAATTCGGCCTTACTTTTGCCGATCCTTATAGCGTTTTCGAGTAAACGGGGTTTGAACGATCTAGGGTTGATCAATCACTATTTTACTATGAATGCAAGTCATTCATTGGTGGAGAGGTTGCAATGACGTCATTAACCAATCTTGGGTCGTTCAAACCACGTTTACTCGAAAACGCTATTTTAAAGGTCGTTTGAGGTCGTTATGTCTCTTGTTGGAAAGCGGCCATTAGTGTACATATACGTGTTTGGAATGATGATGCAATTTTTGTTAATATAGTGCAAATATAATTTAATGGATGGAAAATTTAGACTGGTATGCACTTTTATATTTGTACTAAATGTATTAAAATGTTCTATTTTTTTATTTAGACAGTTAATGATTAGTTGTAAATGTCTTTTAATATAATCTTTATTTTATTATATGTGATATAAAGGTAATTATATAGTATCGCTACTTCGTCTCCGATTTTAATCCAATTAAGCTTATTTGACGTGTTTTTGTGTGAAATAAAACTTCTATCTGAAAAAAGTGTTGCTCTGCCTCGCGAAGTGAGATATTTATCGTTAAAGTTGAAGACTTTTCAGGTTAGGAAACCTGTCATACGAACGAAGTGTAGCGATACTGAGGCGGAACACACTACCTCCACGCATACACTTTTCACGCGAAGCGAGATTTCACATGGGTTTACGAATTTCTACACAAAACGAGATTCAATCCAGACCCTGTGTGTATAGTTTTTTGACAGTTGAGCCTCCCCAAAGGGGGCGGGGGGGAGGGCGAAACACACTGCCTCCACGCATACATTTTCCACGCGAAGCGAGGTTCTACATGGGTTTGCAAAATTAAAAACCTCGCGAAGTTATACACTTCGTTCGTATGACAGGTTTCCTAACCTGAAAAATCTTCAACTTTAACGATAAATATCTCACTTCGCGGGACAGAACGACACTTTTTTCAAATAGAAAAGTTTTATTTCACACAAAAACGCGTCGAATAAGCCTAATTGGATCAAAATCGGAGGTGAGGTAGCGATACTGTATAATTACCAAGATTGTATATGTATATGCTGCAGATTAAAAATTTTTGGACAATAAATATTTTTTTTAGATTTTATTTCTGTAAATCTTTTAATGAGGATTCTTGAAATTTACAAAGTATCAAACAACAAATTCAACTCTTTGTCCAAGAACTTTTAACTGGTAGCGTATATTATTATTCAATGACACAAACAATGACGCAAACTCAAATACATTGTATTGCATTATCACGTTATGTTTCAGATATTCTAAATTCTATAATATCAAGCTTTGAAATCTGTGTATCATTCAGATATATAAAAAACCATAATGTGGAATCAAAACATAGGAAAGGAGAATAGTTGAAATGATACAGTGTAAAATAACCTAAGTCAGTCTTTGTCTTTTAGTATGGATCTAACAATGATGAGATATTGCCCATCAAACATAACTTTTATTGATATCTGGATAAACCATGGTATGTCTAAATGTTTTATGGACACCATCTGTACTAGTATAATTTTTTTGTACTTGATTATATTTGGATCTATCCAACTATGGATGTATCGCAAGTATGGGACAGATGCTGATGAAAATGCATTACCAAGAAGCAAATTATATAATTTACAAAAGTTTGTTTTATACTTTGTCCCTTTTCTGAGTATTTTGAGGATAATCTTACAAGCTACAGTCTTAGATGATGGAATAGTTTATGGATATATGGTAAGAATTGTAGTTTAAATTACTGAGTTAAGTTTTATTTTTATTAGCAAGATAGTTAAAATAGTTATCCATTTTATTAATTTTTATATGATATATGATACAAACAATATTTAAGAAAAGAATTTGTAATTAAAAAAGAGAAGTTATTTATTATGTTCTATTAGGTAGTACCATATAACATTGTTATTTTTATAAGTTAAAGTAAAAAATATTTAAAAAAAAAAGTTTTATTCTAGTAAAATCTGTACTGTTAATAAATAACATTAATAAATACTTCTTTTATAATAAAATATTAAACATTATGTTTTATATTTATAAGATACAACATTTTTAAACTATATAAATTTTTCAAATCTTACTGCTTCTTAATTAGAAAATGATTTATTTCTTTTTGAATTATTACTGAATAGTAATTTTTCTAACATATTTTCCTTTAAAAATTTAACTGTACTATGTTTCAGTTTACATTTATCTAAAAAAATATTCACAATTTTTTTGAACACCTTATATTATTCTTTTTCTCTTCTATGGAAAATAAATAAAAACAACTCAATCTAAGAAAATTGAAAAACATAATTCTAATAGCATAACTAGAAATATTCTTTGTATCAATTTTACTAATTGTCACTTTTTAATTGATCAAAAATCGTTAAATTTATTTAATACAAAATTGATTTGAAAGTTAAAAATAGCAAACAGTAAATTACAATCTTGTAAAAAGTTATTAATATAATTACAATATTTATCAATAACATAAATTTATTTTACTTTGGCAGATATTAACGACAGTGTCGACGGTTATTATTTATCCATATTCAATTTATATATTGAAAGTTGAAAGACATAAACTATTACCAAGCGTGCCACCACATGGTCATGGATTGGTGTTACTGGGATTTTGGACGTTGGCATTTGTGACTGAGAATCTTGTTTTTGTCAACATTGGAAAACTGGAATGGTGGTTTCATTTGAATTCGTAAGTTTATAATAAATAAAAAATAGAAAAATAAGTTGTTTTATATAATTTGAAATAAAGCATGTAAAAATAATCAATCTTTTCAAAATATTACTCCTGAATCAACTACGTTATTCATTATAAATGTAATACTTTTTTTTCAGTTTGACAGATCAGATTGAAATGGCTTTATTTGTCTTGCGTTATATCAGCAGTTTATTAATTTTTGCTCTGGGTTTACGAGCTCCTGGCATTACTGGTAACTTTGATCCTGATTATCATGTACTTCATGATAGCTCAACCATGCAATCACGATATTATCAAAGAGTAAGTAATATGAATTTATATAGTATATTTCATGATTTTAAATAAAGATTCAAAATATCTTGACATTTTGATAAAAGTAACAAAATGATAAAGATAAAAAGGTTGGTTTAAAGCACAGCTTTAAAGGGGAAAAGAAAAGAATATATTGTCTTAAGATTGATTTTTAAGATCATTAAATTCAGATATTAAAACAAGCTGCTAGAGCCAGAGTAGGTTGTTAGTACTCAATTAGTATTTTCATTTGATAATAACAAATGTTTTGACCAATTATTTTATAGTCATCTTTAGTGTAAAATTACAATTTCTTGATAATACTTATATACATTGTTAGAATCACAACGCATTGGTTCTGCAACCAATGCGTTGGTTTTGTTTGGAAATACATTTTGAGATCCGCACGCAATAATCGAAAAATTATTACAATTACATACATATGCAGCATGTCGGCTACGGGTGTGGCATCCTCGTGAATACAGTTTTTTTTGGTCGATCCTTTCGTAGTCGTTCTTTCTGTTGTAGTCATTATATTCTTAAACATGTTGAGGGTATGATTTGTATACCTTTTTCTCATGTGATCTACTTATTTCTAAAAAACTTTAAACGTCAATCATAGTTATTGTCAATTCCTTCTAAAAAATTATCGGTAATTGTGAAAGATTTTACCTACCTACCTAAATTATGGTCGTCATTATATTAAAAAGCAATCTCGTAATGTCGTTATATTTTAAAATTGTTATTGTAGCTTATTATGATTCTTTTCCACACAAGTTAATGTATTGAGAGGACAAACCATACTGACGCGAGAACAACAAATAAATTTTGAGGCAGCACTCCGAAAGGAAAGAAGGGAATACGAGGAATATTATAAGTAAATGTGGTTACGTTAGTAGGTATGAATTTAATATAAAGAAAAAGGAACAGTTTAAAAGGATTAGATTGTTCTACTAGGTGGGAAACATCTTTAAGATTGATAGATACATATTAGGTAATAATTCCGTGTCACTCTGTTTATTCAAGCTTGTTATTTGTCTTTTATATGTATCATTTCAGATATCAAGCTCTTATTATACGACAGTTCTTTGTCTAGGATCTCCACATTTTACTAGTTAAACTCATGATTATATTCGAGTCTGTGACAAGAAATGATTGATGGAGATCCTGATTTTTTTATTGATATCCGATTTATGTTCGCATTCTATTCTAGTTTTTAGTTGTTGCTTTGTTTGGCTCACATATGTAGCTTAACATTTGTTTAAAAATATCTATCTAAATTTAAATATCTATCAGAAAAAGTTGATTTATGGAATAAATTAAAAGTAATCCTATTGTTTTCTAATATAAAAGATTCATTAAGAATATTTCAATATTTATTGATAAATTTTTAGTTGCAGTCAATTTAGTTTTAAATTCAACTTTCTTCAGTTTCGATAATGTATATTATAAACAAATTTTCACAAGTCAAAGTTTCATCAAAGAAATATAGAAAGAGCCATATCGATATTTCTAATAATGGATATCCATTAGAATTAATTTTTGACAATATCAGACACAGAATTAATTACCAAATAAACAAAACTTCAAATAAAGATGACTTCAGATAAAAAGAAAAAAATAGGCTTTTCACGGTTCCTTATATAAAAGGAATATTAGAAAAATTTCATCAGACAATAAGTAAAAGTGATATTAATATGGCATTCTCATGCAATAATAAACTAAATAAAATTATTAAGACAGGAAAGGATTTATTGGATCCCAATAATCAATGTGACGTTGTGTACAAAATTTCGTGTCACGACTGCGAAACTACATATGTGGGCCAAACGAAGCGACAACTAAAAATTAAAATAGAAAGTGAACATAAATCGAATATCAATAAAAAATCAGGATCTCTCCATCAGTCATTTCTTGTCACAGATTCGAATATAACCATGAGTTTAACTGGGAAAATGTGGAGATCCTAGACAAAGAACTGTCGTATAATAAGAGATTGATATCTGAAATGATACATATAAAGAGACAAATAACAAGCTTGAATAAACAGAGTGACACGGAATTATTACCTAATATGTATCTACCAATCTTAAAGATGTTTCCCACCTAGTAGAACAATCTAATCCTTTTAAACTGTTCCTTTTTCTTTATATTAAATTCATACCTACTAACGTAACCACATTTACTTATAATATTCCTCGTATTCCCTTCTTTCATTTCGGAGTGCTGCCTCAAAATTTATTTGTTGTTTTCGCGTCAGTATGGTTTGTCCTCTCAATACATTAACTTGTGTGGAAAAGAATCATAATAAGCTACGATAACAATTTTAAAATATAACGACGTTACGAGATTGCTTTTTAATATAATGACGACCATAATTTAGGTAGGTAGGTAGGTAAAATCTTTCACAATTACCGATAATTTTTTAGAAGGAATTGACAATAACTATGGTTGACATTTAAGGTTGTTTAGAAAGTAGATCACATAAGGAAAAGGCATACAAATCATACTCTCAACATATCTAAGAATATAATGACTACAACAGAAAGAACGACTACGAAAGGATCGACCAAAAAATTGTATTTACGAGGATGCTACACCCGTAGCCGACATGCTGCATATGTATGTAATTGCAATAATTTTTCGATTATTGCGTGTGGATCTCAAAATGTATTTGCAAACAAAATTCAGAATTAATGCGTTGTGATTTTAGTAATGTATATGTTATGAACAAAGTGATGAATGAGGCATTGTACATAATGCCCGAATATTACGTATAATGACCAGAACAGTCGGGCAGAGTGATAAATATTTGTTAATTTATCGCTTTGGGTAATATACATAATGCTTCATACTTTCCGGGCAATGTGATATTCTATCGAGTACATTGCTAGTGATGAACATTTGATCACGCGCCAGCCAATGCGGGGTCCCGCGCGGCCACTTGCAGCTATGCAACATGTTCATGCCTATTAGTATTTAATCACTATTCACGCGTCAAGTTTGGAGCGTGCGGTTCTTTTTGTTGTGATTCCTTTTGTCATAGGATCTACTTAAAAAGTGTTTTTTTTTAGTCATGGAGCATCCAAAACGTAATATAAATAATCGTTTCAATTATCGATTAAATGAGTTATTAACATCTAAAAATCAGAACACTCCAATTCTTATCAAAAGTACATATTTGAATATGATCCAGAAAGTTAACCAGTTGAGTGGTAATGTATCATATATGTACAAAAAAAAAGTGCCAAACGTGGTAATGTATCATATATGTACATTTCTAAATAACTCCACTAATTTTCAACAGATTTGCACAAAACTTGATATCCTAAGGTTTTTTGGGCTGCTGAATTTAAATCTGTTGTCAAAATTGCAAAATTCAAAATGGCGGATCCAATATGGCGACTGTTAATTGTTAAAACGACTAAAATATTAGAGTTAGGTAAAATATGTATAAGACCTTATTTATAGAGCTTTTTATGAGCTTCATTTTTTGTTTGACAACTTTTTCCGTACAATCAATACTTTCTGAAATAATTAACAAAAACAGTTTTATTTTTGAACCTTTGAGGGGGACTGGGGGGCGGAGGAGGCATTTGCGCCAAAAATCCATTTGGGAATATTATTTACTAGATAAAATAAGTATTTAGGCTGAATATAAACCAAATCAGAGGTGATAGTTTTTCGAAAGTCTACCTCTCTTTTTTGATCCACCTCCACTTTTGACTGGAAAGTCGTAGTAAACATTTTCAAAAATCATTGTTCTTGTTTTGAAACGCCCTTTCAAATGATCCTCACTCGACCTATAGTGCCATTTAACATTTTCCACCTCTATTCTGCCCCTCCCCCCGCCCAGGGCCCATTCCACACCCATTCCGAAAAGTTGCTTTTTCGAAAACTTTGAACCCATGTTTCACCGTTTTTCGATATTTTAACTTTTGGCTCTTACCACTTTTGGCACAAATCTTTCAGAAAAGTCTACCACTCAACTGGTTAAGCAGTCAAAAATGAAACTAACACCAAAGTTACCCGAAGAATATCAGCGTTTGCGCAGGTACGACATTATTTCTGTAGGAGACGTAGAAAAGCTGATTGTTCCTGTGAAGGAAGGTCATTCTTTGATTAAGTACTATGTACACACAAAAAAATATTCCAATTACTTTACAACACTCATATTTCGATTGGTCATGGTGGTAGAAACCGCATGGAAGAAGAACTAAAGAACAAATACAAAATTATTACGAGGGAGATGATTACGATTTACTTGAATTTATGTGAAATCTGTCAAAAGATACTGAGTATTTCGAACAAGGGCTTGGTAGTTAAGCCAATTATCATGAAATGAACTCCAGATGTTAGGTTGACCTAATAGATATGCAGTCAAGCAGACGGAGAATATAGATTTATTCTCGTATACCAGGACCATCACAAAATTTGTACAGCTGCGACCTCTAAAAACAAAAAGGGCCGAAAAAGTAGCATATGTTCTTTTAGACATATTCACGATATTTGGTGCACTAAGGTATTTTATAGAGCGATCATGGTAGAAAATTCGCCAACAACATTATTAAGGAACTTTGCAGTATGTGGCATGAACTGAAGATGGTGCATGGAAAACCTAGACATTCACAGAGTCAAGGTTCAGTAGAAAGAGCAAACCAGGATATTGAGAATATTCTCAGCTCTTGGCTAGAGACTAACAACATTAATAAATGGTCGGAAGGGTTAAAGTTTGTACAATTTATGAAAAACAGAGGACATCACACTTGTATAAATAGCAGCTCTTATGAAGCCATGTTTGGTTCGAAATTAAAGGTTGGTTTAAAAAGTTTCTTGCCTCCTGAAGCATTGACCAGCATAAACACAGAAGAGGACTTGGAGTTACTCTTAAAAAGTAATGATAATCATGAAAATCAGAGCAATCCGGATGACGGTGGAACTGATATTCAAGTCAATGCTACAATAGATTCTCCAATGATGCCGGACTCAAATAATGGTGCGACTGAGGA